TATATATATATAAATAATAAAAACACAGCAATTGTTTATAATACGCAGTGCTTAGTAAACCAAATGTTGTCAGGTTAGTGTTTAAATCTGCTTTAAGAGATGGAGAGTTGCAACAGTTCTCACTTGTAGCTCTGGTGCTTATAAAGGAACATCTGGGTTTAACCAATCATTTTGGCATATAAATTCTTAATGGCTCGACATAACTGGAGGCGTCCAAGGTGTCCATTGCCTAAATACATTGTTATTATTATACAGAATGTATATAGTGCCAACAGTTTGAGCAGCGCTTTACAATGTGGGGAAGACATTACAATTACAATACAAGACAAGATGGTAATGCCCATGAGAGCTCACAATCTAAACATTTGTGCTGGAAGGTGTCTATCTTTTTCATCTCAGAAAGTTGAAAGGTATGGCACACTGAAAAGGTGAATTGTCTACACACAGAACCTACAAACTTGACAAATTGTGTTTTTTCTAAGAAAATGGCTATATGGCGTGGTCACTTGAACCTCAAATGGTGTGCAGTTGAGCGCCAACAAAGAAACCATGAGAACAGGATCTTTGTAAAAAAAACAACATGAAGTTGGTTGTTTGCGTATATCTACAGCTTTGCACTGGTTCTATTTTCATGGTCTAATTGCTCTGTTGACAGTCTGACTCAGCCATGATTGCCTGTATTATAAATGTACATAGCTGCTTTGGATTGTGATGTCCACCAATAGCCTGAAACATGGAGCAATAAAATCCTATAAAGATCTATTAAAAGTTTTCATAGCATATCAGAAATCACACATAACTGAGGACAGAAGCTGGGTGAACGTGTCACAGGATGGCAGACTGGCCTGTGTTGGTGTTACTGGGATTTTATTTCTTCTCCCCTGCCATATGTTCTATGGTGAAGGTTACTGATGGAGGATATGATGACATTGTGATTGCAATCCACCCTGCAGTACCCGAAAATGAAACAATGATAGAAAAAGTCAAGGTAAGAGCATTGTACACTCTAAAAATCGGTAACTGTATCTTAAAGAGGATCTGTCACTTTGCCCTCTCTTGCAAGCTACCCCACCCATTGATGCTCACCTTCCCTGCATGTCGCCAGCAATCTTTGTCTCTTGAAGCCATGGGTCCTAATACCCATGTAAGCTCCATTTCAAAATATCATAGCGTTAATGACATTCTCCCATTCCCCACATGACAGTGTTTTTGCCTGGGGTCATGAGCACTGCATTCTGGGAATAAGGAGATAAGGCCGTATACACAAATGTACAGAGCATTTGAGGGCTTCAACAGACAAAGGGAGCAGCAGGGGAGCTCTGTGAAGGGATCAGATTATTAGATAAACCCAGATGTTCCTTTATAAGCACCAGAGCTACAAGTGAGAACTGTTACAACTCTACATCTCTTAAAGTAGATTTAAACACTAACCTGATTACATTTGGTTTACTAAGCACTGTGTATTATAAATAATTGCTGTGTTTTTATTATTTTTTTATATATAAAATACAATTGTTTTACACTTTTTGCATCTCAGTGCTTCCCCTGCCTTTCTCAGCCACTTCCTTTCTACACTTGCTCCAGTGTTGGCTACATATTATTGCTCCTCACTAGCTTTCTGAAAGGGACATTGCTAGGCTTAGTTGGGTAGCACAGTGGCTTCGTGGATAGCAGTCCTGCCATGCAGCACTGGGATCCTTTGTATAACAATAATGTCTGTTGAATGTGTGCCAACACTATCAGCTGCAGTCCCAAACATGGGTGAATGTGACAGGGTGAGAATTTAGGAGTACAGTTGGGAGACAATTGTCAGCCCATAACAGGAAGTGCCCAAACAAGGATCATTGACAGATTTGCAAGGTATTACATGCACAAAGGGGTGGGATGCTTGTGCTGATGTCATTGACCTTATATGGACACAAGGCACAGAGTCATTGACCAAATATTCCTGTAACCAGGCAACCTTCCCCACAGTGTCTTGGGATGGGTTGAACCTCACCTGCTGACCTGATAAAGACTCGGCCCAGTACAGGAGGGCTGGCTGCAGCCTCCTATTGAAAACTAGGGATGCACCAAAATTTTGGCCTCCGAAACACATCGGTCGAAAGTGCCATCTTTTGGCCGAAATTGTGGTGCATCTCTAGTTTCTCTCCTCCCCGCTGTGCGCTGCTCTATGTCCCCTCTGACACAGCGCAGCGTCCAGCGGGAGGAGAGAAAAAGTCAGAGAAGGCCGAGGGGGGAAGGAGATCACTGTCATCGGCAGTGTGACAGGAAGCCGAGCTCTCCTGCTGCACCGCCCCCCTCAGTCACCTCTGACCGATCAGGATGGAGAGCGGTGTGGGTGTCACAGGAGCCTGCGGTGAGGGGGAGGAGTCAGCTGTCAAAATAGACAGAGCTCTCTTCCCCGAAGCCCCCAGCAGTAAAGTTAAAAAGGTTAGAAAAAAATATTATTTTCGGTTTCGGCCTCACATTGTATTTTTGGTTCAGTTTCGGTTCATTTTGGTGCACCTCTATTTGAAACCCCTCATAATAGCCGCACAAGGTGTTTAGACCCATGCAGTTAACACAGAGGTCAATCCACCAGGTTCCCCAAGAGATATAAGACATTGTCAGGTGGTTTAACTCTCCAGGATCTGCCAAAATCCGACCCTTTATTTAATAACATTAAGAGTAATATTCAGTAACCCATGAGAATCAATCACTCATTGCTTGGATTGCAGCAGCCGAAACATGAAAACCATTTGGTTGCTGTGTCTAATTGTACAATGGATTTGCTCTTTGCTCTGTCTCTGTACTAATTTGTTACAATGTTTTCTCTTGTTTTTTATAGTTAATGATAAAGGAAGCTACGCAGGATTTATTTAACGCAACTAAACAAAGACTTTTTATCAGAAGTATCAAAATCTTAATTCCTTTAACCTGGTCACAAAAAGCCACTTATGGCACTCGTAGCAGAGAAAAATATGAGACGGTAAGATACTGATGCAACACTGTGCAGAAGGATGAGACAGAAATTAAACCATACTTCCTTCTACAGATATAAAAAAAAGGGACAAACTAGTATAACCTGGTTTGTAGGCACGCATGCATGTATGGGAACTTACAGGACTTGACAAGAGGAATGGTGCATTCCTCGTATGATGATTCAATGTTTGGGTGGGGAGCAGCAACCGTTACCAAGGCTGCTCTGTTGCCAAGTCCAGTGTATGCTTATAGATGAATGATTGGATTATCTGAATTTTAAGAGGAACCAGGCATTTGATGAAGACTGCATATAGCAAATAAGCAAGTAGTAACCTACATTAGAACTTGGTTTATATTTTTTTGCCCCTTTATTTATATCAAGGATGGGCGTGCCTATCACTTGAAAAGGAGCAATGGCAGTACTACTAGTACCAAACTTTCAAACTTTCCGAATGGGTCTGAACACGAATTTTCGTTAAGGCAACATGGGAGCCATCATGGGAGCCATCTGATTGGCCAGAAAATTCACATGCCGTAACAAAAATTTGTGTTCAGTATACACATATATTACTAAAGCTGAGGCTCCTAGACCCGAATGGCATTCAGGTGCTCCCGAATGCAATTCGGAAATTTGCATCCCGAATGCCATTCGGGTCTAGGAGAATTCAGCTTTAATATTAATATCTATATATGGTTTTCTGTTTTACTTGCAACGAATATTCGAAATTCAGATTTTGTCCAAATCCGAACCGAATTGAATTTCGGATCCGAATCCCGAAATAACGAAATATCCGAACCGAACCAAATTTTTTCGCAGCTTACATGTCTAATTTCCAATAGGCCAAATCAGGTTAGCATCTAAAGCAGACAGTAATTGTTTACGTTATAAACACATTTATGGGATATCCACTTTATTCTATTTTACCAGGCGCATGTTATAATTGCCAACACATTATTAAATATTGGAGATGGCCCTTACACAAGGCAGTATGGGGGCTGCAGAGAACAAGGAAGATTTATTCATCTGACTCCAAACTTCCTGATGAATGAGGATCTGATTTCAGTGTATGGACCAAAAGGTGAGCAAAACTCTTATTTTGATAGCAGTTGGCTCTTCCCACTGGAAAAGCTACTGCTACAGCTAAGAAAATAAGTATGCCAGAATATAATGTACAGCAGATTTTATTAACTACCAGTCTGAAGTGTGCAGAGATGGGAAAATGGTGGCCCTGTGCCCAAATCTATGTATGATCCTCTGATGAAGTGTCCTAACATGAAACCATTCAGGATTTATCTTTCCCTTTCCAATTACATGAGCAGGAAATTACATTTCAGAAGAAGGGGAGTGATTCTGTATTCCAGTTCTGTGAGGTATAACCAAACAAGGAAGCCAAGTTAATATTTTTTTTTACAGTTTTTGGAAACCAAATCTACAGATTGAACTAGATAAATACTTTAAAATTCTAAAGAGTACATAGCTTTAATATATCTTATATGTATTTGTTTTTATAAATTGAATTACCATTTAAAGACTACAGTATGACATGAATGTGAACCCATCTTGACATGTTTGCTAAGCATCTATTCTCCCCTGAGTATCTCATCAATAATTTCACAATTTTAGGAAAGTTATTCGTCCGAGAATGGGCCCGACTTCGTTGGGGAGTCTTTGAGGAGTATAACACTGACCAGCCCTTCTATATTTCTCCAGACCTTCAAGTAGAGGCAACACGGTATGTTTTCATCTAATTTCCTAAGAGATGCAGGGAAAGGATTACACAAATGCATCCAAATACATCTGTTCTCACAGAAAAATAGAATGCTGTGTTTTGACATTTTAAAATACATTTCCCCACAATGCTTATAGATACAGAGGTGAACGAGGACTTGTTTAAAAGTACGTTCATTGCTTTTTCAGAATATGTAAACACTTTAGTGTGCACGATCTGGGCACAGGTTCGCTTTAAACATTATACCACCAACAATGAGACTAGAGCCAGGGGTGGTGTCCCCCTTGCCCCTTTCCCCAACCCTATACACTTTTCCACTAGTGCCATCATTGGTGGAATAGTGTTTAATGAATACCACTGTGAAGGGGAAATAGAGTTTAATAAATACCACTATGCCTTTCTGCAAGGTTGTATAGTATTTAATGAATACCACTATGGCTTACTGCAAACAGGTATAGTGCCATATCGAGCCTCCATGCCCGAATGTGTAAATGGCTGATATGGGGAAGGGGTGGGAGGTTTAAGAAAACTGTATTATTATGTCTTTTGGCACAGACTCCTAGATTTTGGGAAGATTTGTCCAGGCTTGTATATATTAATGAAATCATTTATGAAAAGTACAGGAGAAGCCACTCTGTAATGTGATTATACATGGTCTGCCTGAGAGACAGCGGCTTGCGTATTTATAGTTTCTTCTTGAATCTGCAATTAGAAGTCACGTTACAAATACAATAGAATACACAAGTAATAAATAACCCTGGTAACTTGTGATTTTTTTTTTTTAAATTGCAGGTGTTCGGTCAATATTAGTGGTATTTATAGAGTTCCGGAGCATGTAGAAGATTCCTGTTTAACTAAGATGTGTACCTTAGATGCTGATACTGGTCTGTATGATCAACGTTGCACTTTCTTCCCGGAGAGGAATCAGATTGCTACAGAATCTATCATGTATTTCCCTGGTCTGAACTCTGTGAGTACCATGACTGTTTGCAGTCTTTCCTTCGGACATATACATTGGGTAACTGGACAGGTGGATGTTTTACCTGGGGTTTTACATGTTCATCCAACTAAGCCCAGTAGGGAGGATCCCATCAAGGGGCAAGGTATGAAAAGAGTTTCTCATCCTGGCTTATGACTCCTACATAGCTCCTACTTTAGGCAATGGAAAACCAGTGCTGCACCCCACATTCACAGGCATCCACCCTGTGCACAGTGGTCACAGTTTGTAGACGGAGTGGTTTATTTGGTGAGCAAGGCTCTGTAGGTAGGAGGAAAGACTGAATTCATAGAATTGATTACAGAAACTCTTTTTAATTTAAATTTGCGATTATGTCTAACCACCTATGACATTTAAGAACAGCTAAGAGAAATGGAAGGGTTGAGTGTGATTAGTAAAATTTATTCATCACAAGCTGACCATATACTAATCAATCTGACTGTACAATCACCACTATGTTGCGCAAGAGCCGGCCTATTTGGATAAACATTGAATGGTAAGGTTTCTCCTCATTTTATATAGTTTTGGTAAATTTAAAGGAGATTGTACAGGTATTGCACAATCAGACTGTAATGTGTATGGCCACCCTAAGGGGTATATTTAAAGTAATAGAAACGTTGCTTTTACAATGTGACACGACCAAGGTCAATAAAATATTGACTGAGAATCAAGTTAGAGTGTGGGTGACTTTCTACTACTTGCTCATTGATCTGCAGAGGCATCTGCGGTCACTTTGGCACCCACCCGATATTGGAGGGTAAAAAACGGTCAGGATTGCAATGGGACCCATTGAATAATATTTATAACCAATTCACAGAGCCATTTGCCCTGTGAATTTCTGTAAATGTTTAATCTGTGCATATAGATGCAACCTTCTTAGTATATTTTCTTTTCAGGTCGAATGTAATGTAATTCCACATTATGGCCATAGATGATGCCGCACAGCCATGTCATTATATTACAGGATCTGTGAATGAAAAAAACTACAAGTTGTATCTGCCACTGCAACAGAGGGGCTCATAGTTCTCAATGGAGTAAAAGTACAGTGACTCATAATCCATTGATTACTTCCTCCGGCTCTATAAACGAAGGTCCATACTTTAGTATGGACCTGAGCCTGGGGGAAGAGTCTGCAGGATCTCAGTAGCACCCGTGATTCACTGATCATGATTGCAATGCTTTGCAAGCTCCAATGCAAAAAATAATAAAGACACATTTTTTTCTTTTAGTAATATGGGTGCATTTTTTCTTTTTTGGGGGGAAATTGTGGAATATGCCTTAAACAGTAATCTTCTACTTGCCCATAAAACACAGAATCACTGTTAAGGCACTGGTCACATGATTGGAATTAGCCTTTTTTCGAAAATGGTAAACCTTTCAAATCTTCAATTGAAATATAAAACACCCCCACCCCCAACCACCCCTGGCTTTCCAAAAATGTGGTTCTATCTGCCACCAAGATATGTTTTCTAGCCCCCTGGAAAACCTACAGTGCTTATGCATGCTTCCCCTGGCCTTTCACAATGCAGTGTTCCGTTTCTGAGCAACCAATGACCAGCCCCAAATTCTGTCACATGGGGGCATACCTATCAGTATAGCAATATGCAGTTATCTACTTTGATAAAAGCTTATATTTGTACAGGATATGTGCAGTGTGGACTAAACTATCCTAGAGATGCAGATGGGAGGTTATTTTTTACTCAGTTTGCTGATAACAGGTGCACTTTAAGATGGAAATAATAGAGTCAGAGAGGCGAACAGTGATTTTATTATGGGGCCCTGTCCTTATTAACTATTCTTTCCCCTCAGTGTACACAGGACTGCTGGCTAAAAGCAGCAAATCTGGTTTCTGCTTCCGTTTCTTTAAAAAAAAACGGACATCAGACATATTTACTGAACTAGTACTTTATATTTAATTTTTTTTTCACTGTGTATTGTGCCAGATATACTTTTAGTACCCCTCGCTCTGCTAAAGAGTAACTTATCGAAAAATCTAACCTATAGACGTTTACAGTCAGCAAATACAATTTCAGTGACTCATTTACCCACTAACCTTCTGCACACATCTCAGATAACTATACAGTATGTCACAGCTGACAGATGTACCTTGCATGCTAATATAAAAACTGTACCAACGAAAACCGCAGAACTTTCCCGGAGCAGCCAATCCGATTTCATATTGTAAGTGAAGCAACCTGATTGGCTGCTAGGTGTACGTGCATACCTCCCAACTGTCTGTCGTTTGGAGGAATTGTCCATTATTTGGAACCAAATTCCTCTGTCCCCTTTTCCTCCTCAGTTGTCCCTTTTTTTGGTCAGATGTGCAGATATCTATGAAAAGGTTCTATTTACCCAACAAAAGTGTTATTCTGCACTAAAGCATTAATCTTATCTCTCAATTATCTTGTTTGCTATTTCAAAAAGCCAATATAAAGAAAAAAATAAAGGAACAAAAAATGTCTGGGTTTAACCAATAATTTTTGCTATATAAATTCTTAATGTTCTGCATAACTGGGGGCATGGAAGGGGTGTATGTAATGCCTATATATAACTGGGGGCACGGCAGGGATGTGTCCATTGCCTATATATAACTGTAGGTGAGTCAATTGCCTATATATAACTTAGGGAGGGGGGACGTAGCAGTGGCGCATCCATTGCTTATATATAACTAGAGGCATATCCATTGTCTATATATATATATAACTGGGGGGCATGGCAGGGGTGTATATATTGCCTATATACAACATGGGGGGTGTCCATTGCCTATATAAAACTAAGGGGGGGGGGTGGTAGGGGTGCATGCATTGCCTATATATAACTGGGGGTTGGCAAGGGGTGTGTCCATTGTCTATATATAACTGAGGACATGGCAGGGGTGTGTCCATTGGCTATATATAACTGTGGGCATAGCATGGCTGTATCCATTGCCTACGTATACATGGGGGGCATGGAAGGGGTGTATCCATTGCCTATAAATAACTGGGGGTGTGGCAGGGGGTATATCCATTGCGTATACGGTATATAACTGGGGGCATGGCAGGGGTGCATCCATTGACTTAATATAGAACTGGAGGCATGGTAGGGAGCGTGCATTGCCTATATATAACTAAGGGGGGGCATTGCAGGGGTGTGTCCATTGCCTAAATACATTGTGCTGGAAGGTGTCCCTCTTTCTCAACTCAGAAGGTTGGGAGGTATGGAAATGCTTCATTGTCCTTTGTACATGAACACACCATGTTCACAATGAAGCTCTAATGTCCGTTAAATATTAGAATAATTTATTTCACTACATAGTATGCATCATATACTTGTATTATAGTATATTACTATTTTATTCATTAGGATTGTATTGTACCGAGAACACAGGGCCGTTCGCATCAGTTGCATACAACATAAAGGTAGCATGTCTTTTTAAACATGCAAAGCCAGGATTTCAGCATGATCACAGTGCAAACCACTGAACCACCTTTCTGCCCATTATAATTATCCAATGTTATCTGATACTATGAAAAGGTTTACATATCTGCAATCTACCTCATGGGATTAATAGATTTAAGGCAACGACTCTACCACCACCTTGTTGTCAAAATTAATACTACAGTTTTTCTTTATTTCACCTTAATATAATATGTTGATATTAAGGGGAATAAGGGGAATATAGGGGTCATAAGAACAGGAAGACAGAAAAAGCAAATAAAAAAATGACAGATGTTCTTACCTAGCTATCTCCCTCCAACAAAAGTTTTAGTCAGAGTTGTTTTTTTTAAAGTTGTCAGTATTTTTATAGTATTAATAACTTTTGAGAGTGAGTATTCTTTCCCTTAAATAATTTGACAGACAAAACAAATACATATATTGTAGTTTAAAAAAAGTACATACACTAAGGCTTTTTTTAATAAAAATGAGCGTCAATTATTATTACCCCTTCCTAGCCTTGTACTTACCTGTATACGATCCAGCCAGGTAACGCTGATTGGATTGCACAGCTGCTTGTCACAATGTTCCTCACCAGGCCCGCCTATGCACTTGTGAGCTCACACTTGGAAGCTCCATAACAATGAATGGCTACCTTAGAATTATCGGGGTTGAAGAGGCAAGATGCCGGCCCAGCAGGGGGTGGAGGAAAAGGGGGACTACCCTTCAAAGTACAACAGCAAAAACTCACCAGTCAGCACACTCACCAGCCAGCATGCAAAAATGTTTTGTCTCAACGCTAAGGTTAAAAACAGAGGTTAAGATACACATCTTCTGCAGAAAATGTGAAAGCCGCACAGCCACGCACAGCCGCGCCAAGGCACCTCTATATAGTGCGGTCCTAACTCTAAACTATGAGAGTCTCCATCATGGAGCACATGTGGCAAAAGATCAAATTGGGTGCAGGTTTGTCAGGAGGAAGCCCAACCTCCATTAAAAGGCACAGGGACGCACAAGGGACCCCGCACATCACAACGTCAGCTGAGGCCCCCCATGCGTCACTGCACCAAATCAGTCAAGCAAAACAAATGGCAAACATTTGCCATTTGTTTTGCTTTACCCTACAAAGTTATCCCAACTTGCTGAGATTAGAAAGAGGGACACCTTCCAGCACAAAGTATTTCAATAGACACACCTTCTGCCATGCCAGTACTGCAAACCATAAAGAAATTATAAGCCAAAAATGACTGATAAAACCAGAATTGTTGTTTTTCACCATTACTTTTCATTAATTTTTTTTATAGCAAACAAGATAATAAAGGGATGGGATGAAGGTTTTAGTGCATACTTGCACTTATGGTAGGTAAACCTTTTTATAGATATCTGTACATCAGACAAAAAGAGGGACAACTAAGGAAGAAAGAGGGACAGAGAGGTTTGGTTCCAAATGAGAGCAAGAGAGACAGATGTGAGTTATGTGAATGAGATATCACATGTCAGCAGTTTACTGTAATAAGACCAAAAGCCACTATCGCGGATTGTTTCCTATAGGTTCTGGAATTTAATATATTGTTCATTGACTTTCCACATATGATTCTGATATAAAAGGCGTGATGTATTGATTACCTTTATTGGGTTTTGAAAATTGGCACTCTTGCATCTTGTTAATAAACATTGGAAAAGATAGAAATTAAATTAAAAGAAAACTGCTTCCTTTTCAGGTATCTGAATTCTGCACTGAAGACACTCACAGCATGGAAGCTCCCACAATGCAGAATCGGATGTGTGACTGTCATAGTACATGGGACATTATTAGGGATTCCAGTGATATCAACCTGTCACTTCCAAGGGATGATGTCAACCTTCCCGAGCCGGTCTTCTCTCTTCTGCGCCACAGAGAAAGAGTGATCACTCTCCTGCTAGATGCCTCTGAAAGCATGGCTTCTGTATGTATCATAACGCGCAGTTTTATAAAATTGGTAGTTGATCGAATAGCAAAATGATCTGCAGAGCTGAACTGTTAATGACAACTTTTAGAAATGACTTCCAGCAATCTATAGTCCACTCAACAGCTAAGAGGACAGAGATCACCAACACTCATTCAAAAAGGATTAGATTCTTATACTTATTAATTGAAGAAACATGTCACAAGCGTCATTTAGCCAACGTTTCAGGGCCACGCAGGGTCCCTTCTTCAGGGCGACATAGTGCCATAATGCCAGAATCGTCTTCTACGATTTTGGGAAACACGATGCCATCCGAGCAATCACTACGAGCACCACAACCATTATTCAAGGTCCAATCGCTGTAAAGAGTGCAAGTGACATATCACAATACTACACTCTAACGCAAAGGCGTTTTAGGCCCCGTTCACACAAGGGCGTCATCGTTTCTGCACGTACGTGCGGTTTCTGCTTTTTTTGCACGTTTTGCAAATGTTTACATGCCACTTGAAGATAGCTTGAGAGGCATTGCGGTCAATGGACGAATGCATATACAAACGCTTGAAAATGTGCAAAATGCTTCTGACGCATAATACATCTAAGTGTGGTTTAAGGGCCACTACTGTATACCAGAAACAAAATAAATTACAATGTATGTGTCTTGGTATGCAAATAATTCCTCTTTCTTTCAAAGCTGAAGTAAATGCAATTGATGTCAGTTGTGGAGTCTGTTCCTCTATGTAGGATACTTTCGGCTGCAAAGGAAAGCAAGAAAATGCGAGCTAATGGTTATTTTCTATGGTTAAGAGACAGGAAGCCAAGTTTGGGCTAAGGGACTATCTACCCTTACCTGCCATACCAATTTTATCAAAAACCAGCCAAAACTTTCTTTTTGTTTAGTTTTCAGTAGCAAAGGGTTAAACACTTTATTTTGTGATTGCTGTCTATGGCTCCTTTGGAAATATTTCCTCTCACCTCCTGTCCTAGTGACGCCAGGGTCACCATGACAGGAAGACAGACAGCAAAAAAAACATGACCGATGTTCTAAACGCTCCCCACTGTACTGACCTAGAGGTCATAATTTAGGCTAGGAGATATGTGCATGCTTGTTTCAGGTCAGTGATTGAAAATATTAAAGCAAAGGCACACTGGGGTAGCCAGGGCCGGATTTACTCTCTCTGCTGCCCCAAGGCCAGGTTCCTCGATGCACCCTCCTGTATGCAGGTTGCATACAAGTGAACTCGGTAACATCACCTAGATCAATTGTACAAAACAAGCGGCGGCTTCCTCGCTGTACATTTAGCCCTGCTTGCCCAAAGCAGAGCTAAGTGTAGAAAACAACTACCCGCCCAGCGCCCAGAACTGCATGTCCCAGGCGTTGGGAGATAGGAATTCCACACCCCTGCTGCCCCTCTACTCCCTGCTGCCCCGAGGCCGGGCCTCGGTTTGGCCTTGTGGGAAATCCGGCCCTGGGGGTAGCCAGACAGGTAGCATCATCATGTCAAAAGCCGGCATGTTTCTTTTATGACAAGTGTCCTCTTTGGAGACTCCTAGAAGGAGGAATGAGAGCACATTGCCTCCAGACCTCATGTGGCTTGTTCAGTTGAATTCCTGTCTTATTTTCCATCTGCAGAACAATCGTCTGTGGCGAGTCCACCAAGCAGCAGACATATTTCTCACTGAGGCGATCGCTCCTGGAACTTACGTTGGCCTTGTTGAATTCTCATCGTACCCATTCACCCTGTCTGAGCTCAGACAAATCAATAATGACGCAGACCGTGACAAACTGAAGACATTTCTTCCAACTGCAGCTTCACAATATGGATCAGACTTCTGCTCTGCTATTCAAATGGCTTTTAAGGTAAAATGGATTTGTCCTTTTTTGCTTTATTCATCAGTATACTCTGCTTATCACATCATTTTTCAGAGTGATGCCAAGCTCAAAGCCCAATCTTATTTACATTACCTAAGGACGACTTGAATCACTTCATATGGAGCAAATTATAGGAAGCATCGGAAATTCTAACAGTGTGTGACCTTGCCGGCTCAACCAAAGTCGATTAACTTTTGTCAAAGGAGCCGGGTGGAAAATTGTCCACTGAACAGTGACTGCATCCAATGAGCTACAGTTTTCTGCCAACAGCGGGTGTTGGTTGTCAGAATACAATAGCCAGCAGGGAATATTCGTCCATCTACGCTGTTAAGCCCTCAGGCTGAACAATATAAATGTATTAGTGTATGTCCAGCTTTAGGGTTTAGCAGCACTGGGTTGCACAGTTTAGAGCCAATGCAAGAACAAGGTAACTAGCCTTGTGTCCTATAGATTCAGTTCACACCAATGTGCTCCTAAAAAATAGCATAGTTCTGATATGCTATAATATTTTGCAATGCACTGCAGCCTATAGTAACAATATAGGTATCAAAGTAATAAAAAATAGGTATCAAATAAAGAAAAGGCACCGCAATGCACACGTACAAAGGCATACAGGCATACAGGGGACTCTCAGAACCCTTAGGTCTTATTTTCGGGGTAGGTCTTACTTTCGGGGAAACACGGTACTATGTGACGTCCTGCTTACACTTTATTGGATATAAAAGGTGCATTTATTCTTTAAAGATGAACACCAGCCAAATATGGAAACCACTAATGCATTAGTTACATAATATATTAAAAAATAATTAAGTTTCATTTTAAATCTAACTAGTCAAAGTACTTGAATTTGACTTAGTATCAGCCTTTGGTAAACCTCTGAAAGAGGAAGGAACATAACTAGGAACCAATCCAATGTGCTTAATGCACATAAGCTGACAAGGGGGAGAAAGCTAGAAGATGAGCTCATCAGTCTGCTGCTTCTCCCTTATGGCCCAGTCACAGGTTGGGGGCAGGCTGGTGACCTAGTAGTATTACTTAACTGCACTAAAGAAAAGTCCGGTCACCAGGCCAGCTGTGCTGTTTATCAGGGCTGTGTACATCTCAGGACTGGAAGGACAGAAACCCAGATCATGTGGCAGGAAAAACATTGTTGCAACATTGTGTCTGGATTTCAGCTTTACCTTCAGGGATGGTGCACAGCTAGGCGACACCTCACCATGTGGCAATCGTGCACGATTCCACGTGGGTAGCCGCGCGGTCAGGAGATGCCTAGGTGTGCACCGATCGGGCTGTGGGTTATTTTCTTATGGCACCCCAGTCACACAGGGTGGATTGCGCGGTTTCCCGCAATGATTCCGCCCATGCTTCCGAACACGATCACGGCTAAAACAGCTGCGTGTCGCGTATCGCAAAAAAAGGTACATGTACCTTTTTTCTGCGATTGCCGCGTCGATGTCACCTCATTGAAACCAATGGGGCCGCGCAGCAATTGCTGCCTGCATTGTGCAGGACCACGCCATCCCGGGACACGCCATCCGGGATCGCGGAGGTCTGCACCGGGCCTCGGGCCAAGTTCACACCTAGGCGACTGAACTGTTTTTGCGTGCTTGTCGCATGTTTTTTTGCAAGATTTAGCTTTGAAAATCACACGATTTTCAATGCATAGAGATGTCAATGGGACCAAAAACACGCAACAACCGCCAGAAAATAGCGCCTGCACTTTTTTGCGCGACAGGCGATTTTGCCAGTGTGATGCAATGCAAAGGTGTGAACAGCCTCCATTGACATGAATGCGAATCTGTGTTTTGCGTGATATCGCGCAACTAAATCCGCATGATAAATCGCCTAGGTGGGCACCAGCCCTTGAGTTTGGTGTTCTTTTACAGTATGCAAGAATTAACATTAACATTAACATTTGCTGTCATCCAGGTGAACAAAAAACTTTATGGATCCGTAGATGGAACTGAAATCCTGTTTCTGGCAGATGGAAGTGATATTAAATCAAAGCTGTGTTTTCCTGACATTAGAAACAGTGGAGCCATTATTCATGTAATTGCTTTGAGCTCTACTGCGGCAAAGGATTTGGAGGAGATCGCTCATATGACAGGTGAGAGGTAGATCAGAAATCCTGTGTTCAGGCATGATTTGTGGGAACTGGAAATATATACTAGACATCTGTTATTACTAGTGACAGAAGAGTTACAGAAAATGGAGTGGAAATGAAAAGTTACAGCAACCAATAGGATTCTTGATTCATTAAAAGAAATGTGATTGTGTTGGCACTGTGTGTGCCTTTTTTGTCATGATGCCATGGTGGACAGATTGTGTCTGCTCCAAGAAGGTACAAGTACACACAATGCTGGTCACATTTTACTGCTCGCTTCCTCATTCCCTTAGAACGGGCAACAAAAATGTCTTCCAAATTAATTTTGATCCATTAAGCCTTTGTTTTATTTTCTATTATTGGAGGCTGAAGAATATTATCAACAAGTCTGATACCAGGCTTTATACAATGGTAATGTAAGCAACAATATGACCCAAAAAAAACATAATGACAAATAATAATATTAATTGTACAAATATATCTTTTCAGGTGGTTTGAAATACTTTTCGACAGATAATCTTCAGTTGAATGATCTCATTGATGCCTTTATTGGAATCTCAAATGAAAATGGGGAATTCGCTGGGAGGGTTAGTCAGGTAATGTCAATTTTTCAGTACTGGTTACTAGTGTGCAATAATGGAGAAGAAAAATCGAAGGCGGCATCTAAAAGGTTAGGAACATCTAGTTGTGGGGTATGATTTGTCAAATCAGTGTTTAATGTTAGGTATAGAGCCCAACTCTAGGTTGGGTAGACCGCTGGAGCGCACCCACTACCCCTTCATTATGTTTCCCACATGTTTTGTGTAGTACTTGTATTTGCTCTGGTTGTATTTGTTTGTTTTTCAGTGACTAGATCGTCAATAATACACAAAATGGCGCCAAATTATTACGTTGCAAAGTTATCTGCATAATTTTTTTGTGAACTCAGGGCAGGGGTCGGATCCTTGCAGCCCTGGACTACCAGGAAGGGAGTTGCAACCCAGAGTAGCACTGGGACCACCAGAGAACAGGGCAGTGCTGGAATATGAAGAGGGTTAATACTGGACCTACAGTAGTTCAAAATATTTACACACCTATCGCACTCCTGACCGGATAAAAAACCCTAATTGTAGGGTGGGTTCTGAAATGACCGAGGAATACTGGACCTGTCCTATATTGCTTGATTGCTATTCTGGCCATCAAAGTGTTTACACAAGCTCAAAGCTGCAATGGCATCCATCGGGTTTTTTAATGGTGTCGGGTATGAATTTCACAGTCTTTAAAAGAGAACTATGGGGTTAGGGCTTTGTTCTCCTGAGGGGAACGGGAGGACACAAACTAGCGTCCTCCCGTCACCCAAAGCTCAGTATACCGCGAGCCAGCATACCGCCCCCTCCCCCGGCCAAGCCTCCTCTGGCGCTGTAGGGGGCCCAGCCACCTCCTGGCCTGTCACCGTCGGCTGATACTCAGGTAAGGGTCCAGGGTGGGCCCTCAGGCTGCCTGGGCCCCTTACATGAGTATCGGACGTACCCCCCTGATGGCGGCCCTGATAAAAGGTATTGATTCAGATGAATCTCTTACAGAAGAAAAATATTAGTAGCCAAACTCATACTGCACTGAAAAGCACACATTGCTCTGGTCCTAAAGTGGATTTGAATGTGCTGCTCTGTTATGGATAATAGATCATGTTTATTTCCTTTTTATGTTACAGCTAGAAAGCAACAGTTTCATTGTGAATCCAGGTGACTGCTTGAATGGCACTGTCCTCATAGACAGTACAGTGGGTGGGGAGACATTCTTCACTGTTACCTGGCAGTCTGCTGCACCGAATATCAACTTAATAGATCCAGCAGGAAATGTATATTCTACAGACAACATCACTATCCATAACTCTGCCCACCTAAGCAGGCTGAAGATCCCTGAATCGGCCATGGTACTATTTCCCTGTTTTATTACTTTTATTATGTTATTCAGAAATAACTTTTATTAGAAGAAAAAAAAAGCTGAATTTTTACTAAGTACTGGGACAGTAAGGGCTCTATTTATAAACAGTTTGCATTGTCATTTGGTATCGGTGCATCCCTAAGTATTATTATTATTGGGTTTTTGCTGAGTACCTTGGTTCTTTAACAAATCCCCTTTGTCTATTTGCAGATTGGAGTCTGGTCCTATGTCCTGTGCAATACAATTACATACAGTCAGGTCTTAGGTCTGGTAGTGACATCCAAAGCTGGAAATGCAAACGTGCCACCGATCACTGTAGACGTTTACATGAACAAGGACACAAATAATTACCCCACGCCCATGATTGTGTATGCAACAGTAAGCCAAGGTCTACTGCCAGTTAAAGGGGCAAGGGTCACCGCTAAAATCAGTTCAGAAGAAGGCAGCCTTACTTTACTTGAACTTCTGGACAATGGAGCAGGTAATTTCTATGTCTTTATACATAGGTTCACTCAGCCATTTGATCACATTTTGTTCATATTTTTACATTTTTCGGTATTTACCATTTGTTTCTTCACAGTAAATTGTCATTTTGGCCCAGGCCGCCTTTCAGATTTTACTGAATGCAACGGACAGTAGAAATTGGGCACTGAGGGACCATTCACAGCTTCATATTGTGGCGGTGTGCGCTAAAATCTGCGCATTAACACAACACTTGGCAACACACTTGCTCTATATGCGGTGCATTGGGGTGCCATTTATTGTGGATGGCTCCCCACTGAACAGTAAAGCTGAACATGTAATTCAATATTGTATTGATTAAAAAAGTATTATTTTTAATCTGTTGAGGTTCAGTAGCAGCCTGTTTATAATAGATAGGCTGCCCAAAAGAGACCCTGTCACCAGAACATTCATTTTAACAGCAATCTTCCCGTAAGATGAAATGTGCACCTAGCATATTGTGTATTATCAGCTGCCCAAGCAAATTTTTATACATGTGATACTCTTTAGTATTTCCTTTCTGTCTTCCCCCAGCCACTTAATGCTCTTAATGACCACTGATGTTATTGGGGGGGGGATGGGGGGGGGGGGTTGGACACTTGATAAGGGCTTAGCTTAGGCCAGAAGTTAAAAAAGTCACGGGAACAGGAAATGAAAATAAATCCCCCCGTCTTGAAGGGATCTCATCTTGCTTCCTGCTGTTGTGTCCATAAGACAGAAAGTGAAGGGAAAATTTCCCCAATGGGACACAGAGAGCACACAAAAAAAACCTCACAGGGTGCCTTAAAGGAGAACTATGAGGTGAATTATTTCCTCTCACCCTCATAGTTAGAGCCGACCTGTGACAAAGAAGCTGTCACAGGTCGGCTCTATGGATCGGGAAGAGAGCAGAAACATGCCGCCAAGCTGCTCACTTCCCAATCGTCTCCCTGCAGGGAGCGGTGACTGTCAGTCACCGCACCCTGCAGGGATTCCCCCGCTTCCCTCTCCGATCCTCCACCGCTGAGTGGAGGAGCTCTCTAGATAGGCAGAGCCAGCTGTCACTCACACGGCTGGGTGGATCTCGACAGTATTGTCAGGATCCGTCCTGGCTGCGGCGCTCTCAGCATTGCCCACGATATACTGAGCTTTAGGTCACGGTAGGAGGTTAGTATACTGTATGTTCTCTCATGACCCTAAAAAAAGCTATGGGGAAAAACACTTACCCCAGTGTTCTTTTAATGTTCTTAATGGCCACTGATTATTGGGTGGGGGGAAGAAACTTGCTAAGCGCTTAGCTTAGGCCAGAAGCCAAAAAAGTCACAGGAAATGAAAATAAATCTTCCACTGGGGAACTGAGAGGGCATATCCCCCAGTCTTGAAGATATCTCATCTTACTTCCTGTTGTGTCCATAGAACAGAAAGTGAAGGGAAAAGTCCCCAATGGGACATGGGACACAGAGAACACAAAAAAACCCTCACAGGGTGCCTTAACCTTCACCTACTCTATCCAAAGCTAAACAAATGTATTTTGATATACTTACTTTAAATCAAAGGGGACAGAGAACAGAGTTTTCTGGTTAACAAAGGTAATACCTGTGCTATCAAGGATGGGATTTTGGTTTAAAAGGTTTATAATGATTGGTAGGTTTGCTTTAAGAGAAGTATAGTTGAACCACTGGCTTCCACAAGCTTCCAAAGCTCAGGTATGCAGTCAATGGCAAGCTGTCCTTATCATGTATACGGTATCATGTACAGCACAGATGACACAGCTGAAGTGTATTCCGGTAGATTAGAATTATAGGCCATGTTTCCATTGTTTCTTGTTTTCGTTCCTTTCCTGCATTTGGGGTGCATGTCTGGCTTACGATTCTGTCATCTTTTGTTGCAAAGGTGCTGATATAGCAAAGAATGACGGCATCTACTCCAAGTATTTTTTTACATTCCCTGTAAATGGGAGATACAATGTGAAAGTACGGGTGGAAGGGGAAGAAGGTGAATGCAGGCTGACGCATCCCAGAGGCCGTGCTTTCTACTTACGAGGCTTCGTGGAAAATGGTGAGACATTTGTCGCAATTATAAAGTTAAGAAGAAAAAAAAAAAAGCAAAGACTCTCCATACTAAGTGTGCAGATGGGATCTAAAAATAATAAGGCTTGGTTCATATTTATGCTTACTTAAACAAAAAAATTATTATAACCTTTTTTTGGTGATCAACAAACCACTAGCTGTTGGATCTGGTACAAGACTGGATAATTGAACTTATAACATGGACCTTATTGATATATAAAGCTGGCAAAAAAACCATAAAAACATGCCAAGTTATAGTAAGTAAGTTATGTTCAAGAAGAATTTAAAGGAGATCTATGAGGTGAGTGATTTCCATTCATCCTCATAGTTAAAGCCAACCTGTGACAATGAAACAGTCACAGGTCGGCTCTATCGATCGGGAAGTGAGCAGAGACATGCACCGATCCGCTCACTACTGAGCTTTGGTCACGGGTGGAGGTTAGTATATGTCCTCCCGTGACCCTAAAGACAACTATGGGGGAAAACATTTACCCCATAGTTCTCTTTTAAAGCAGAAAAAAAAGAGAATGCCAAAGCAAGAGAGGACAGTGAAAAGAAAAAACACAGACATAAAGCCCAGAGAGGATGATAAACATAAAAGGGAAGAATGATAGAGGAGAAAATATAATTGAGCTCCTTATAATAGTGTGGATTGAGGGGAAGAAGCTACTGGTTTGGGACAGTTTGGTGGAGGGAGGATTTTTTTTTCTCAAGAAATATTTATATTTTTTTATCCATACAAATAACAGAATAAGTATCAAGTACAATACAGGTGAAACTCGAATAATTAGAATATAGTGCAAAAGTAATGGCAGTAATTGCAGTAAGTGCTGCAAAAGGGGTCCAAACCAAGTACTGAGTACATATGCATGCTTGTACTTTTCAGAGGTCCGATATTGTTCTCTGTACAATCCTTGTTTTATTGATTGCATGTAATAATCTACTTTTTTGAGGTTGTGGATTTGGGGTTCTTGGGGTTTTCATGAGCTGTAAGCCATAATCATCACAATTATGATAAATCACGGCTTGAACTATCTTGCTTTGCATGTAATGAGTCTTATCTCATATATTAGTTTCACCTTTTAAGTTGCATTAGTGAAATAAATGAACTTTGCACCATATTCTAATTATTCGAGTTTCACCTGTATGTGAGCTTGTCTAGTGATAGTCACAATATAGTAAAGTGTTAATGAGGTTTCAGGCAATCTGAGAGCATTCACATTTCCTCAAGCAGAGTTGTGCAGAGAAGCCAGCAGGCTGGACGTCTGATAGTTTCGTAAAATTAATTTGTGGTTTTCAGTATTTGCTACATTCATAATTGTTACAGGTAAAGTTGTTATGAAACCATCAGATCCTCTGGGTGATGCGGTTCTACCTGCAGTAGGAAGCTTCAAAAGAGCCATAACTGGAAGCTCTTTCGTGGTGTCTGCCGTAGCTGATGCAGGCAAATACATCTATCCACCATCAAAAATTACAGACCTGGAAGCTCAGATTAAAGAAAACAGAGTTGTCTTATCATGGACCGCGACTGGGGATGATCTGGATTGGGGAACTGGTATGTTTCTTTCTTTAATGGTGATTTACTAGTCTTTTGTTTATGGGCCAATAACTAAAACAGCTGTAGGTGCTAGGTATGGTGGCTGTTACCTACTTTATTGACATGAACATTTAGGAGTATAAGAAGCGCATTTATTTCAATGCTCAGTATCTGGATATCTATAAGAGGACCAGGCTTAATTTGCCTTATGTCCTTTTTATCCCAGAGCAGTTGTGTTCGGTGTGATGGTTGAATCCAATAATGATCTGCGCTTTAGGATAACAAACCTCCCCGCGTGGATTGTGCAGCTGTGCTAAAAGGTATTAACCCCTAAATTTGTATCAAGTGTACACACTGCGCATCAACCACCTATAACATCACATGTGCTGTGCTAAAAGGTATTAACCCCTAAATTTGTATCAAGTGTACACACTGCGCATCAACCACCTATAACATCACATGTGCTGTGCTAAAAGGTATTAACCCCTAAATTTGTATCAAGTGTACACACTGCGCATCAACCACCTATAACATCACATGTGCTGTGCTAAAAGGTATTGGCCCTTAGAGTATGTATCAAGTGTTAAAAGGGTATTAACCCTTAAGGTGGCCATACACCACAAGACCTTAGTCTTGCGATGGTTGTAAAGTACCTAAAAAAAAAAAACGTACGATCTGCCCATCTTGGACAGGCAGATCGTACTTGCGATCATCGCAACCCCGCCCCCCTGAGGGGCGGGCTTCCGATGACTGCAATGCTGAACGGGCAGTGTGCGCGTGCGCACACCGGCCCGTTCGGCATTTGTCTCCCGAGCACCGTTCAAACCAGCCGAAAATCGTAGGATTTTCGGCTGGTTTTCTAGCATGCTCCTTAGACAAAAGACGTGCCACCGTACAGTAGAAACGGTCGCACGTCTTCATTCACACTGCACGATGCTCGTAGGATCGCGGGATTTCCCGCGATTCTCGTACGAGAATCGTGCAGTGTATGGGCACCTTTAGAGTATGTATCAGGTGTATGCACTATGCATCAATCACCATCAAGTGTCCTGCACACTTGATGGTATAGGTCAGTGGTGGCGAACCTATGGCACGCAAGGCCCTTTCTGCTGGCACGCGAGCCAAGGTTATGAGACGGGGACGGAGCTGCATGAGACAGGGGGCGGAGACAGAGTGAGATCGAGAGACGGAGCGGCATGAGACAGGGTGCGGAGACGGGGAGATGAGGCAAGACTGAGGCAAAGGCAGAGACCGCGATGGAGGAGACGTCGAGGCAGCAGTGAAGGCTGGGCTTTCCGTGTAAGGCAGGAGCACTGTGCTGGCAGGGCCCAGGATAGATTATGCACAGCCCACCAAGGAGTCACAGGGGGGCTGTGCAATACCTTTTAGTGGGCTTTGCAGGATTTTACTTTGAGATAAATAAATAGATTTTGCGTCGCAGTTTGGGCACTCGGGTTCAAAAAGGTTTGCCATCACTGTTATAGGTCATTGATGCACAATGCATACACCTGATACATGCTCTAAGGGTAATAAATTTTAGCACAGCACACTTGATGTTATAGGTGGTTGATGCGCAGGTAAAAGGATACAGTTATCTTTTGAAAAACAACCCCAGCATGTCCTCCAAGTCGAATATCCCCCTTTCCTTGTTCCTCCGTGATCCACGCTGTGTATCTTACTGGGAATGGAAATCTCCCTCATGCCGGCACAGAGAGCAATAAAATCCTGACAGAGGTTCTAAAGATTCCTCACTTCTAGAATACTCGCTGCCTGTGTCCTCACTGGGGGCATTTCTCCTAATTTACTATCAAATAAAATGGAATTAATTTGGACAAGAAGTAAGCAAGGATCGTAAATGAGGACACCAATAAAAAGCTGTCAAAGGATCTAACCCTTAATAGTTATCTGCACTTTAAATCAGTTACTATCAAATACATACGCAACCCCAGCAAAGCAGAGTCTGGGAAAGAGGACTGGATTTTTTATTTACACACTATTTTAATACATTTAATTATATAAATACTGTGAGTGAATTTCAAGCCAGCCTTGCAGTCCAACAGGTATTCAAATCTAATTTAACAAAATGTAATTTTTTTTTTTTTTGGAGAAATTCTCTTTATTAAACAGGTTTAATAATGTAATACAAGACAAAGCCATATGAGGCATACCCCTGGCTAAACATCACAAGGAACAAAAATTAAAAACCCAAACAAGAGGCAATGAAGGTGGTAAAAACAAGAAAAACAAAACCCGAAAAGAGAAGTCAGTCAGCTCTGTGCCGCCCACCCTATGATACACCTTAACATGGTACAAGAAAGGATAACATTCTGCATAGGTACAAGTAGTATATAAATAAAAATTGCAAAACACTTCCACTCCACACACAGAATGTCAGAGGTACAGTACAGTGAAACAGAGAGATCCCTCATAGAAAACCCCCCTAGCAACCTCACTCCTCAAAACTCTGCTGTGTAGTTAACCAGTGGTAAGGTTCAAGGACATCCAAAGATCCCAAACTGTGTAAAATTTAGCTACACACCCCCTGAATTCATAGGTAGCCTTATAATACGGTAGGGTCAAGTTGACCAGTGACCTCCAGAAATCTGAGGGGGCCACTGGGGCTTTCCACTTAAGAATGATGGCTTCTCTTGGATAAAACAACAGAAGACTAAAAACATTTCTGAAATACGAGTTGGAGCCATCGAACCCTCCAAAGCCAAAAGACAGACCTCGACTGTCATAGGGATCACAGTGGTAGTTATGGATGCAACAAAATATTGTATCACATGCCAGTACACTTGGATAGCCAAGCATGTCCATAGCATATGGATGAAATCAGCTTTCTCATACCAGTATCTCCAGCAATGTGATGAAGAATGAGGGTACATCCCATGTATACTACCTGGTGACCGATACATTCTGTGGAGGATCTTGAATTGGATCAATCTATCCCTCTCTGAGGCTAGATTTGTTAGCAGATAACCCCATATGTCTTTCCAGTCTTCTGAGTCAAGACTTGGAGCATCCAAGAGCCATCACTAGAGAAGGCCTATGAGTATATTGGGTTGGAGAGCTTTGTAGATTGTGGATAGATGCTTGGCCAAAGACTCATTATGCATGAGAGGTTCTATTCTAGAGGTTTGCACCTCCAGCTGCATTGCACCAAACGGGGTGTGAAAAGCATGCCATAGTTCCAGGTATCTAAATAATAAGTATTAGGTAATGTAAACTTGAGTTTTCACCTGTCAAAGGAAATAAGAGTATTGTCTTCATCAATATGTGCTTGAGGTTTTATACGCTATGAAGCCCAAGGTACCAGGTCTGGGATGAGATAAAATTATGACAAATTGGGGTTCAACCAAAGTGGCATATGATGGGAATACTTATATGGCAGAACATTTAGCTGTATATTGACTATCAGTGCATTTATAAAATAAAAATACTTTAGGCGTGGTTGTGAATATTTAATCATAGCGTGTTCATCTTTTTTCAGCTCAGAGTTATAAATTAGGGATGAACAAGAATATTAAAGAACTCAGGGACAACTTTAAAGGATCCACCCTGATGGATATTTCCAGTGTTACTCCAAGCCCAGCTGGAACAAGAGAAGAATTTCAACTTAATCAAATGCTTGATACTGCAAATGGGACAGTCTTGTACTTTGCTTTGATTGCGATTGATAAAAACCTCCAGGAATCAGCCACATCTAACATAGCTCAAGCTGCTTTTTTACCCCCTATAACTCCAGGATCCACTGCTCAGCCAATCACTAAATGTTCCACTCCCAATCCTAAAACCTGCACCACTGTGAAATTCATCCAGGAATGTGACCCAACAATCCCCCCAAAACAACCTCCTACATGTCCACCTAAACCCTCCCCAAAGTGTACCACTCCAGGACAAACAACAGACTGAACCAAAGCCAAAATGAACCTCTATATAAAAAAAAATGTCTGTGAGTTAAACCTTTATTCAAGCCAAAATGTTTTTTGTTTTTTTTAGTTTTGGATCGAGTAGGGAAGTGATGATATGTTTGTCAGTTTTAACCATAAAAAAGCACTGTTGAAATCCTGAATAATAAGAATAATAAAAATAATACAATGTCCAACAAGAGCATCAACCAATAGTGAAAGAGCACAAAAGAAGCCCAAATACCAAAAATATGGGTAAAAATAAATGTTTTCTAGCATAACATAGGGAAAACATTTTTTTTGTTCGAAATGTACGGTACTTTTTTCATTATTTGAGGTTAATTTTAATATTTAACACAATTTTAAATTATTTAAATGTTATTTTTAAATGTCGTCACACATGATTACCAGGGACGCTATTATTTTATTTATGTGAAATCTATGTCATTTGTATTTGGGTTTTAGCCTTGCTTTAACATTAACTCAATATGAATTAATAAATAAACTCTTTTTGGACTCTTTTCCCACTCTCACTGTACCTTGTATTTGTGAACTGTATCCTGGGCCCCCCACTTAGAAGCACCTTTCTTTTTTCAAGGCCCTCAGGACCGCGTGGAAACCGTACACGAAACATTAGGCAGAAGAGTAGTCAGGTCCAGGCAGAGGTCCTGGGCTGGTGGCATGTAAGAGAGTAGCCAGATACAGGCAGGGGTCATGGACAGGGAGCAGACAATATAGTAGTCAGGTCAATCTGGGTCGATCAACAACAAGCAAGGCAATCAAGTAATATAATATCTCTTCAGCACAAAGGAGTGGTGATAAGATACAACACTAAGCATTCCAAAGCTAGTGCTTAAAAGGAGAACTATGGGGTTAGGGCTTTTCCCCATAGTTCTCCGAAGGGAAACGGGAGGACACAAACTAGCGTCCTCCCGTCACCCTAAGCTCAGTATACCGCGAGCTGTACCGAGACACTGCAGCGGAAACAGATCCCGACAATTATGTCTGGACCCGCCCAGCTGCGTGAGTGACAGCTGGCTCTGCCTATCTAGAGGCAGAGCCAGCTGTACCCGCCCCCTCCCCCGTCC